TCCATAATTTAATGATAAAACCCCAATCATGAGTAAGACTGCCAACCTGACTGCTGTCCAGAAGGCCATCATTGACACCCTCAAGCAAGAGGGTATGACACAGAAAGATATTTCTGAACAAATAGATTGTTCCCAGAGTGCTGTATCAAGGCACCTTAGTGGGAAGTCTGTGTCACAACGAGAAGGGGTGACCGAACTATTGGGGAGAAGGGCCAATTCCAGACCTTGGGGGAACTGCGGAAGTAGTGGACTGAGTCTGGAGTAGAAACATCCAGAGCCACCGAGCACAGGCGTGTGCAGGAAATTGGCTACAGGTGCCGCATTCCCCAGGTCAGCTTTTCATGAGCTGTATGCCAAAATCATCCGTATTAAGACAATAAAAGAACTGAAATATTTCAGTTAGTCTGCAATGAATCTAAAATATATGAATGTTCACGTTTTATCATTACATTATGGAAAATAATGAACTTTATCATAATATGCTAATATTTTGAGAAGGCTCTGTAGGTTTTTATTTAAAAAAAAACTAAAGTGCAGCAAACATTTGTATTCATCTGTTCCCAAAGATCAAAACTGTAATCAATCAGCACTTTGTAAAGTTAGCTAGATGAAGCATGTGTGTCTTGCTTCATCATTCTTACAAATACTTACCAGCTTTGCTGTCCCTGTATCTGAAGAGTAAATAAATCCCACAGAATGACGCTGCCACTACTATGTTTCACTATGCAATTGTTACTTATAGGATGAGGGCATTATAGGTTTCCCTTTGCACTAAGCCTTATAAATTAATGCAAAAAAGCTTTGTTTATTACTGAACCATCAGGGACGAGCAAGGAGTGTTTTTTTTTATACCATTTAAAAATTTTACTTTAAAGAATTAACTTTATAATCATAAATGTAAGACAAGTTTGGATACATGAGTTTGTTTGAAATAAATATGTTTTATTTCCTGTTTGAAATTCGATCACAGACACAAATAATTAATAATAAACCAGAATTTTAACTATTTTAATATCAACTGTAAACTCTACATCATCACCTCTTAAGTTTGATCCGACAGCACTGCAGGCAGAGTTTTCTTTTTTTATTTCTAGGTTTGTGTAGAAAGTTCCCTTAGTTAAACATACACACACATGGTGTTCACAGAAACGTTAGTATCTTGGCTCAGAGCCCATATAAACCATTTCCAAAAACACCAAACAGTCAAATCGATAAGCAATTGAATTTAAAACCACAAAAAATGTCTGAGCTGCAACAGTTGCTTGCACTACCTCTCCAAGTGGCTCCAAATAAACAAAAACAACAAGTGACAGATCTGCTGAAAGCAGAGATCTCCCAGATTCCAAACATATAACCATCTACCCAGGATTTACTTATCCAGCACAAAAAAACAAACAAACAGGAAAACACCAAAATAAACACCCATGTTTGATGAGGATAACAATCTACAGCTTACTTTGCTCATACTTTATCCCCAAAGTCTTACATCCACCTCTGTACAGCCATGTTAGCCGAACCACCTCTCACTAAATTCCATTATTTTCTGTTTTTTATCCAGTAACAGGAAGTTGATAAAACAAAAGTAAACATTCTTCAGACAGGATATAAAGATGCATTGCTCAGAGACATGTAAACCTAGTGGATATAACTGGATTCCCCTGGCTTAGCAGATTTAAATGAGGGCTTCTTTGGTTAAACCTGCTAATATCGAGATGTACTCCTGCGTAATGGCCGTGTTCAGTTACAGTTTATTGCTGTTTTCATTGAAATTGTGTGAAGATTAATTTGGTGTATTTGGTAAGAAAAGCTTCACAAATGAGACATGTTAAAACGTTTCACTTAAGTAAAAAGAAAACGTTTACAATCTATTTTGGCTGAATGTACCAAAGTGTGCCAAAGGTAGCACCCATAAGCCCCATTTACACTAGCCTTTAGAAATGGTGCTGAGATCGGCCCGAGCATGATGACCGAGATAACTGTAAATGGCACATAACTGAACCAGTTACCACTGAAGCCAGGCACAACCGGTCTGAGCCAGACACAACCAGACACAACTCAACCGACCCAACATGATACTAGTTCACAAGTAGGGCTCGGCGCGGTTCAGTTCAGGCTCGGTTCTCAAATAACAAAAAGCACGTAAGCAGACCGCGTCATTTCTTTACACTCAGCCTCTAATCAATAAAGTCGTAGGGAAGCGGCTGTTCCAACTGTTACATTTTCAAATTCTCCCGAGCGGTGCACGACTTTACACAAGTGAATAAACTGAATGTGATTGGTCGATTATCAAGGAGGCAGGATTTTTGTAGAGGAAGGTTTGCAAGCAAGTTTGATGGCCGGTTTGTCGGAAGCATCTTGCTAACCAGTTAGCAACTTAGTGCTAGTAGATTCCCAATGGGAAGTTACATTGGAACCAAGTAGCACTAAATTGGTGACTTAGAAACAACACTGTCAAAGAATGCTATGGACAGCGGAAACATGCAAGAGGAGGAGAGTTTTGTGTCGGAGGTTGTGGATGAGTCTCCTCCGTCATACATTTTTTATATAGAGGAGGAAAGCGGGAACGAAGATGTGGTGGAAGAGGACGCCAGGGCGGCAGAAGCTTGGTTTGGTGTAGAAGACTTACGTGTTTGTTTTTACATGTTTCAGCCCTTGCCTCGCAACGCTGCCAGTTCTGTTAGCTCTACGCCTGGCGAAGACACAGACGTCCATCCTCGTGAACACTGGGATGGAACTCAATGGGAAAGGAAATTTTTCTTATTTCAACCGTTGCGTATATTAGCTGCGACATAAATCAAGATGCTATGACCGAAATAATTTGATTGACAGGTGACCGTTGATATATGATTGGCCGAATGTAGGTGTACAAGCTGATGTATAACTAACTGGCCTGCATAAGAACACCGAAAAGAAAACTCAGATTTTAAGACAAGTTTTTTTTAAAACAGAAATTTCTAACTTTTAGGACAATACACTCACTGGCCACTTTATTAGGTACCCCATGCTAGTAACAGGTTGGACCCCCTTTTGCCTTCAGAACTGCCTCAATTCTTCATGTTATAGATTCAACAAGGTGCTGGAAGCATTCCTCAGGGAGTTTGGTCCATATTGACATGATGGCGTCACACAGTTGCCGCAGATTTGTCGGCTGCACATCCATGATGCGAATCTCCCGTTCCACCACATCCCAAAGATGCTCTATTGGATTGAGATCTGGTGACTGTGGAGGCCATTTGAGTACAGTGAACTCATTGTCATGTTCAAGAAACCAGCCTGAGATGATTCCAGCTTTATGACATGGCGCGTTATCCTGCTGAAAGTAGCCATCAGAAGTTGGGTACATTGTGGTCATAAAGGGATGGACATGGTCAGCGACAATACTCAGAAAGGCTGTGGCGTTGCAACGATGCTCAATTGGTACCAAGGGGCCCAAAGAGTGCCAAGAAAATATTCTCCACACCATGACACCACCACCACCAGCCTGAACCGTTGATACAAGGCAGGATGGATCCATGCTTTCATGTTGTAGACGCCAAATTCTGACCCTACCATCCGAATGTCGCAGCAGAAATCGAGACTCATCAGACCAGGCAACGTTTTTCCAATCTTCTATTGACCAATTTCGATGAGCTTGTGCAAATTGTAGCCTCAGTTTCCTGTTCTTAGCTGAAAGGATTGGCACCCGGTGTGGTCTTCTGCTGCTGTAGCCCATCTGCCTCAAAGTTCGACGTACTGTGCGTTCAGAGATGCTCTTCTGTCCACCTTGGTTGTAACGGATGGTTATTTGAGTCACTGTTGCCCTTCTATCAGCTCGAACCAGTCTGGCCATTCTCCTCTGACCTCTGGCATCAACAAGGCATTTCCGCCCACAGAACTGCCGCTCACTGGATGTTTTTTCTTTTCCGGACCATTCTCTGTAAACCCTAGAGATGGTTGTGCGTGAAAATCCCAGTAGATCAGCAGTTTCTGAAATACTCAGACAAGCCCTTCTGGGACCAACAATCATGCCACGTTCAAAGTCACTCAAATCACCTTTCTTCCCCATACTGATGCTCGGTTTGAACTGCAGGAGATTGTCTTGACCATGTCTACATGCCTAAATGCACTGAGTTGCCGCCATGTGATTGGCTGCTTAGAAATTTAGTGTTAACGAGCAGTTGGACAGGTGTACCTAATAAAGTGGCCGGTGAGTGTATAGTCTGATAAAGAATCTATTTATATACATGTTTTAGCCAGAATGATTTGACATTTAAATACGACTTCCCCACGACTTTAAAGTCGCAGGGCAGCCTAAAGCCCACTTCTCTCATTTAGCCATAAAAAAAGAAAAAAACAAAAACAAACAGTCAGTTCAGGTGTTTAATAGAATATCTGAATCAGTAAATTGTCTAAATACCAAACTGAATGATTGTTGTTGTCTACTTCAAAAAAATACTTTAGATTTTAAAATGGAAAAATTTTCTATTTTTTACATATACACTGTATATATATATATATATATATATATATATATATATATATATATATATATATATATATATATATATATATATATATATATATATATTAGTTCAATGTATAACATTGAGGCATAAAAACCTCATTTTATTTCAGTGTTGAATTCTGTTTAAAGTAACAAATTATTATTAAAAATATCTCTGGACCTTTACTGGTTGATGACTTTCTTTGTTTGGATCGCACTGATTTTTAATTGGTTATCCCTGGTATAGATCATTTTAAAACGGCTGCTTTCATGTGCAGAATTTCGGTTCAAGTGTTTGGATATTATTGTGTGTGGTTTAACAATTGTAAATAGGACTAAAAAATTTAAAGAATGAAGGATTAGGAGCAGCGGCTGCGTTTGGATATTTGTTGTAAAACGGTTAAAGTGAAGCAGTAGTTAATCGCTTTGAGACGCGGCTCACGCGCTGCGTGTAGTGATTAGGGCGCATTGCTGAGTAATCACTGATGAAGTTGTGAGGCAGACCGTGCTCCCTCCCTCCCTCTCACTCCGTCTCTCTCTCTCACACTCACACACACAAACCGGCAGAGAGAGAAAGGAGAGGAGGAGGAGGAGAGGAGAAGCGGCGGAGGAGCTACGGTCACTTTCTCACAGGCTTCGGCCGAGCCTGTGTGGTCTCTCCCACGCTGTTGCTAGGGAAATGGATGGCTTGAATGGATCGGTGGTCCGGACGGATCAGTCCTGCTCGCCCCCTCACCTTTACAGCCCGCAGTGTTTCAGCGCGACTTTACGGGGATTGCTGCTAAAAACGTGACGCGTCGGCTTCAGCTCTGCACCAGCCGAGGTAAGGAATTATTGCAACATGGCATCAGTGGATAAAAACAAAACAATAACAATTAGAAAACAAAAACCAACAGAGTCAGAAGATATTTTTAAACGAATACATAAAATTAAGTTAGGTTTTCATAAATAAAAACAGATATAAAAAGGTTTCATTCATCATATCACCTTGAGAAAACCAGCTTTCAGAGAAAAAAGTACAGATATTAAAACTGATGTGAGGACGCTGCAGCTTTAAGTCCACATAGCGATTACAATGCAAATACCCCCACTGCTCCCTCACTCTCCTCACTATGAGGCTGTGTTGAATGTTAGGAGACGAGAACGTTCAGCAGAGTCCAGTGTTTTGATTACTTACTGTCATCCAATGGCAGCAGCACCCCCACCCCACCCCACCATCCTTTGTTTCCACCCATAAAATAAAAGTCTCTAAATGAGATGAGAACTGAGGTATGATGAAATTCGGATCCTCATTTTGTTTTCTCTGCCTACAGTCCAGTGGAGCTGCACCTGGAGAAGTGAGGTGAAGAGAGGCAGCCGGGGAGAGGGCTCGACAGTCTGGCCGGCGCCCCGGGTGGATGCTGCCTTAAGAGAACAACGGCTGAGGCAGCAGCACCGAGTCAAAAAGGAGTATGGCATCCACTCGCATGCAGATATTTGGATTTGTCCTAGCATTGCTGGGCATCATGGGTGCCATGGTGGCCACCCTGCTGCCCAACTGGAAGGTCAGTGCAGATGTGGGCCCCAACATCATCACAGCTATTTCCCAGATGCAGGGGCTGTGGATGGACTGCACCTGGTACAGCACTGGCATGTTCAGCTGCACGCTCAAATATTCCGTGCTTTCCCTTCCTGCGTACTTGCAGACTGCTCGCACCACCATGGTGCTCTGCTGTGTGCTGGCTGCCATGGGCCTCTGCCTTGCTTCTCTAGGACTGAAATGTACTCGATGGGGAGGCGGACGGCGCTCCAAGCGACATGCCGCCATTGCCAGTGGGGGCTGCTTCGTCACTGCTGGCTTTCTGTGTCTGGTGCCTGCTTCTTGGTTTACCAAGGAAGTCATCACAAACTTCTTGGACTCCAGCGTGCCAGAGAGCAATAAGTTTGAGCCTGGGGGTGCTGTGTACGTCGCCTTTGTATCAGCAGGTTTCCTCTTTGTTGGGGGGTCCGTATTCTGCATGTCTTGCTCGGGGAAGAGGCACGGCCCTCAGGACCTGGTTCTGCTTCCTCCACCGGACAAACTGCTCCTCCAACAGCAGCAGCAACAGCTTCTCCAGCAGGAGCTCCAGCACCAGTACTGCTCCCTCTCCCCCTTAGACAACAAGACTGGCTACAGTCTGCAGGACTACGTGTAATAAAAGTAGCAGCTACAGGGAGGCATGCCTGAGGGGGAAAATCATCATGGTTAATGCTGTACATCGGGCTGTGCTCCAAACTGAGGAGGAGAAGCAACGAGAGGAGGGCAACAATTTTGAATTCATTTGTGTCTCCTTTTAGTCTGTTTTGAAAGCACAAGCTGTGGAGGTAAACCTTGAGCAGGAGCTTGGAAAGAAACAGAGCTGATGTGTAAGGAGGCTGGATTCATGCTGCAGGAGTGAAGGACGCTCCCAGATTCTTCATCAGTAAATCAAGAAAAAGCTCCCTGGGGAATGGATTACGCAAAATAAAGAAGCCGAGAGTGTAGATTTCACCCCCTCCTCACCAAAGCTTTGAATAGAAAGAAAATAAGCAATCATTTAGCTGCTATTTACAATCCTTCTTACCGATACCCTCCTCCCTCCCCTTATTTGAGTAAATAGGCAATATAAAACCAGAGAACAGAAGGTAAAACCCCTTCCATAGCAAGCCATTTTATTTATTTAATTTTATACATATCTGCTAGAATGCAACCTTGAATCGATTTAAATTAAAAAGGTGATATTTTTGTTAGTTTCTAGAAGGATGTTGATATTTTTGCCTCTAAAGCATGCTGTGTGGAGCCTGTTTGTGTATTGATACACTGGAATGCCTGGTAGAACGACTGAACCACACAATGCTTGTGCCTGAAAACAAAGCTGTAGAAACATTAACCCTGCTGGAAGTTTTCAAAGACGACTGTCAGGAGGAGACGACGCGGGGCGACGGGGCTGCGTTGAACGAACGAGACGTGCGCTTCGCACGGCAGGTGGAAATATGAGAGGAAGGGAGAGAAATTTAGCAGGAAGCCTGTTCTGTGCTTTAGTAGAGTGGACACTTTCACATCACCCATCCAGACACAATCCACTTGTGTGTATAAGTTGCGGCGTTCCCATTCAACAATCCATTGTGGACATTTACACCCACACCACGCATGCTTTTGTGTGCCATTTCTGTGCACAATAAACATTCAGGGGCTTTTCATGTGTGTTTTTCACTCCCGTCTACTGCCTCTTTACTGCCATGGAGACAGATTTCCCCTTTAAACATCTTTATTATCAGCCAGTCGCAGGAGCTCTTTGAAAAGGGGCATCCTTTCATGCCTTTAACCCCACACCCCACCTTACAGAAGAAATTCTTCCCTGCAACCAATTTTGACCATTCCCTCATTATTAAAACAGAAATTCAATGGTCAAGCATCACAGGAGCATAATTGCAGAAGAAGAGAATGATAGGCTCCTAAGTGGATAGCTGTGCGGCAGACGACTAAAAAAGCTTTGAGTCATTCTCCATATGTGACTTGTTTTTTGAGTGCGTCAGCAGCAGTGCGCATATGTTACCAGTCTTCACCTGGAAAGCTCTGTTTTATACTGCGTCCACTTCATTATCCTACTAACCCCACCATTCCTTGGGTCCCAACCGGTGGCTCCTTTCCCCCTCCCTTTCCGACTCATTCATCCTGGCCTGTTTGTGTCAGCCGTCACATGGATGTGATCCCTGACGAGAGAACGCTGATGCATGCTGAAAGCGTGTCCTCCTCAAACGCACATCCACACCAGGCTCAAATAAACACAACTCTTCTCGCTCGCCCACATCTACCTACTCATGTGACAGTTGGAGCACTACTTTCATGGCTATATTACAAAGAAAGTCTACACTTCGACTCCCAGAGGAGGAATATTGAGTTTGTGCATGAAGCAGGCATGGATGTATAGAACTGCAGTCTCTCCTTTTCTCTCATAAACATGCAGCTTCCTGGGGGAGAGCAGATGGCTGAGCCCAGTCTGCCACCTGCAGGCAGCTGCCAGAAACACCACAGGCGCCTCCGAGGGCACTGCTGGCAAACTTGGTAGCCCTGCAGAGCCAAAACTGGCACGACTCAGAGCTGGCCAGGCACCACTACTGATAAATGCAATAAAACTAGTAAAGAATGTGCCATGTCATCAGCTAATACCGACACATTATGTGTTTGAGAATGTGCCAAATGGTTTCATGATGACAAATTTTAATATTACCTGGAGTTTTTCTTTTGTCCTTTATTTTTCTATGAATTTTACATCTGAAAAATGCTTTATGGGTTTGGGATTTCTTCTGCCAGATTAGATGCTTGTGTACAGTCCTTTGCAGCTTCCGAGGGTTATTTCAAATCCTCATTACTCCTCAAAGCACAGCAGGACTCCAGAGTCTGAGCCCTAAATAAATACATCGTCTCGTAAAAAGTATTCATACCCCTCCTAAATATAATCATAAACTTCTGTGTAATTTATTAGAACAAAAAACAATGTGAGATGTGAAGTTGAAATAAAATGATTTAGGCTTTTCAAATAGGTTGCTTAAAATATCTTAAAGGTTGTGCGAATCTGTATCTCATATTTTGATACCCCTAAATAAAAGCCAGATAACCGTCTTCAGATTTAGTCATTAGAACCAATGTGTGGTTTAATCTCACTATAAATGCTGCTCTTCTGTGAGGTTTTTTGGAGAACGTTCGAATCAAACAGAATCATTAATACGAGGAAAAACACACAGGAATAAAGTTGTTAAGGCTTTTAAAGCCGTGTCAGGTTATACCCCATGGAATAACCAAAGCTTCAAATACGTCAAAGAACACTGTTCACACCATCATGTCAAAATGAAAAGCATTTGAAACAACTGCAAGCGTGCCAAGAATTAGGACACATATGCCTGATCCTCAAAGGTTACAAATAAGAGCTGCTAAATTGCACATGGAGTTGTTTTTAGTACATGCAATAAGCAGCCATGTGGCAGGTGATCTACAAAGATTGCTGCATATTTAATAAATGCAAACCGTTTTGGTTGATTAAAATAAGCAGATTGCATGTTCTACTTTCAGATCGGCTATAAAAGAAAGATGAGGTTCAAAGCCATGGAGATGGAGATAATAATGATAAATATTTACAATAATGATGAAACTATATAATATTTATAGTGCACGTCGTTTTTTATAAACATAGCCCAACATTAATTTCTGACGGCCTGTGTAGATGTTCCTTCTTTATTAATATTATTCTATTGTTGTTATTACATGTACTGAGGATATCTTTTCATCCTCTGGCCTCCTTTGTAGCAACCACGACTGCAGATATTTTTGCCTGTCAGTTGGCACTTGACTTACTAATAATGTGGCAAAAACTGCAGTTGCAGTTGAGTTCCCAATTTGGAAAATGACCTTGCATGTGACCTAATGTTAAATGTTTACATTTCTATATCCTCCACCCATTAATTTGCAGTTTGGTCATTATAATATGATCTGCAAATCAATGACGGCACACGGCAAATTAAATTTGCAGATGCTGTCTGCTTCTTTGTATATTTGCACTGTTGGTGCAAACATGTTTGCAACTGTTTTAAGACACGCAAACCCTCTGAAGATCAGGCCCAAAGACACTTAGTCCAACCAGCTGGGGAAGGAAAGCATTCGAGCTGCACAGTTATGAAACATCGCTGCAATATCATTATGCACAATATAACAATTGAATGGATGCAATAATTTAGTTTTGATATGGGCTGCGTATTGATTTGTTTTCAATTCAAGATTTAATATCAATTATTTTCATGCAATCCATGAAAAGACATCCATAAAAACACATTTTTAGCTGTTAGCAGAATTACAGGACTGTTAAGTTATGCAAAATATTGATTCTAGTTTTATATTTTTGTTTAGCAGCAAATAAAAGTAATGATAGTTAACGGCGGCCATAAGGACAGAGGAAAACATTTTTAGAAAAAGGATCTTTGTTTAAATAAATTAATATGAGTTTGAAAATCCTTTTTTTTTTTTTTTTTTTTAGACACAGCTCTTATTATAATCAATATTTTTTTAAATAATATTTACCAATAGCTGCCCATAACTTCTTCTGTTTTCCTACCAAGCATTAATTTAAAAAGCAGCCATCAGGTTCATGGTAATGGAGGAGCTGTAGAAATCCACAGCTCAGCTGGGAAAATCTGAAAATGTTAGTCATGCGTTCAATAAAGCCATTCTAAGGTTGTTCAGCAGTTGTAACGCACTGTGTATGAGATTTTTCCAAATCTAATTTGTTTTGTAACCACGTACGTTATTTTATCACAATGTCCAATAATGCATAGAAATTTGAATGAGCTCATGGGGTATGAATTTTGTTTTTCGAGGAAACTTAAGGCAGAAAAATGATGGTCTGTAAAAACTGTACACAAGTGTCTGATTTTACAGGATTTTTTTATTTATTTAATTGATTGGAGGATTTTTTTTATCCTTCAGACTGTTTCAGTCAAAGATAAAAACACCATTTTCACACCATATCTTCTTTATAAGAAGACTACTCAGTGCACTTTTAATTTGTGTTACTATTTAAAGGCAGTTTGGTTCAAATAAACAAGCATTCCAGCCTCTCTGGACCAGTACGAACACATAGCATAAGTGGGCACTCTGGACAGAAGAAAAGTGAGCAATTTCTGCCTGATGGAGTACAGCAGGGAAATACCAGCTAGAGATTTCTCTTTTTCAGTGGCTCTGCAGCTTAATCATCAGCACGCAATTTTATTTGCTTATAAAGAGCCAGAGTGCAATGTGACTAGGTCTTTAAAGTCTACAAGTTACAGCTCTTCTGCGTATACTGTACCGAGATGTTGGATTTATTTGATACCTGCAGCTTAGTTTTGTGAATGCGTTAGCACTACTTACTTTGCTGGAACATATTTGTGATGATGAGCAGTTCACAAGTTCTGATACAGTTGTCTTAATGTGCTTGTGCAAGTAGTTCTATTTTTTACCAATAAAACTATTTTGTGAAAGCAGCTTTGGTGCCATTTGTGTTTTTTGATCATAAGGTTTCAGCTTCTGTGCCAAAAGATTAACATCAAACAGGAAGCCGGTTTTACATCAAAACATTACTGCACTATAAATTTAACTGAAAAGGACATTGATAAAATTTAACTGTGGGCAGGGTTTCCTTATTATTCTCCAAAGGCTTTCCGTTTACTGCTTGGTTAAAAATGATGGCATTAGCTAATACAAGAGTGAAACAATTACACACAACCCCCCTCGGAGTTGGAGGGAATGGCTATTATCTGGACCGACTGCTTAATCGGACCAAAGTAATGAGTTTACTGAAAACATAAGCTATGTTGGGGGGAAAGAAACAACAACTTACTCTGTGTACTGCATAATTACTCCATGGGTAACTGACTTTACAAAGTGCTAGTAAAACTGTTATGCAGGCAGCGGCTACAACTTTGTCAGTATATATTGTATAAATGAATTTGAAACTTTATAGCATGATTTACAAGAAAAAACAGGAGTGACACTTAAAAAGAAAATGTTCAAGAACTGATCGAAAACTTAACATTTATTTTTCATAGCTAATCAGCAGAGACTTCACCATTTTTCCGAATTTAAAACTCAAGAGTTAGTAAATTGAATCTTAGTATTCAATTCCCTTATATTTATTTGTATTTTATTGTATCAAGAAATAAATGTATTTTTTAAGGATTTTCATTGGGAGATGCCCTAATGGAATCCTAGGGTTCTGGGTTTGAGTCCCACAGACTGCCACTCTGGGTCTTTGAGTAAGACCCTTAACCCCCAATAGCTCCCAGGACGTCCCACGATGGCAGCCCGCTGTTCCCAAGGGGATGGGTTAAATGCAGAGGTAGATTTCTCGTAAAGTTCAATTAATTAACAAAAATCTGCACGACTAATAACAATAAAGTGTGTGTATTGTGGCCTGTTACACACACAATGTGAGTTACAAATGTGTCAACAGTGCTTAACGTTTGCATACACCCGCTCTAAGGTAATAACAGTATCTCTAAGGAGCTGCAGAGACCAAAAGCTGAGGTGGGAGAAAGTCTGACAAGGAAACTAATCCCTAGCCACAAATGTGGCTTAGGCAGAAACATGCCAAAGACAAAAGCTCCTAGATGAGAGGTTTTCCACAAGCCAAGCAGAGAACAAGCAAATGTGAGAAAAGCTGCTCTGGTCAGATGTGGAAAAAAACATCTGATTCTTATGGAAGTGCTTCTAAGTACAATGAAAAGAATAGTTCTCATTGAAATCTACTTTAAAATGTAGCAACAAAGGTTGTGTTAAAAATTAATAAAGCGAGGAAAAAAAAGGGGTAATTTTTAAACCAATTTAACTGGATATCATCAAGTAATATGGGTCAAAATTCTGTTGCCATATTTCAGAGTAATAACAATAAAGACTGGTCTAAACATAAGAGGAAGAGCTACTAAATTATTATTACTTCTGATAGTTAAAGCGTATAACAGAGGCTGCTTTAGACATGCAGACTTAGAACTTTAATTCCTGCAGCCTGAAAACTTCACATGGAGTTAATACTAAATTAGTTTGAATGTAGTGTTGATTGGAGTCTCCTCATTAGTCACCAAGTGAGAAAATACCATGGATTATTAAAAGGATCTTTTTCTCATGCATCCACTCCGCATGCTTATGCAACAAGGCTGTGCATCATACATCCGCTCTTCTCTTGGGGAAGTGCTCATAGGATCTTTTCTATGTGTATATAACCTACATTTCCCATCAAAGGATTCCCCCCACAGTTTTCACTAGGAAAGATTTGGGAAGTTAGCTTTGGACAAAAGTGAGAGGGAAGATGAGCGCTGGTGTGTTTTAGGCAGGGACTACTTAAGCCGGGCATACAATGTACAATTTTTTCAATCGTTGCATGCAGCTACAGCTCACACAATATGACGAAACCACAGGGTTTAAGTGTTCAAAGCTCACAATGCATGTTCTCACACTGTGCGATCCATCGCTCTGATGCGATCTACCTGCTCACACTGTACGTCTAAAAACCACATCGGACTCAGCTCTGCAGTGAGATGCTGCTACCTGGAGTCGTCTAACTGGAAGCCAAACGAATAGAAAAGGAATATGAAGCTCACTAGTGAAACACGCAGCAATTTTTGTAATTTTGTCCTGAAAGCAGGAGGAGAAAGTAGAAGAATCCTTGTTTGCGCATGACCACTGAGCGATTTTCCCACGACCACCTTACGACGACCGACTGAATTTCAAAAACATTTTTTCCCCGACCTTACATTTCTTGATGGGGAGGTGGTCGTGAGAGGTCCCTCGTTACCCCCTGTAGGGGCTAAGCTGACGCTTAAAGCCACTGGAGTGTTTTTAAATCAGAATCTTACGGTTGACGTGCATTTGCCAGGGTGAGGTGGTAAACAGGAAGTGTCCAGACGCTGTTCTTGCAGTAAAAAACTGATTTATTCCCATTGTTGCTTGCTTACGAAAACAAAAAATGATAAAAACGGCCATCTGAGGGGTTGACAGTGTTTCCCGGCCAAGCGGTCAAAACGGATTTGCCTTTTCCGATGAAGCACACGCCCATACACACATCATTTCCTTCCTTTTTTAAGTGTTTATACATACTGGCTTCTACACCCCCTGTACACTACATGACGCCCGGTCAGGCTGAAAGTCGGCCTGATCAAAAAATTCTTGCACGACTGGAAGATCGGCCCGAAAAGGGCAAAAAAAATCGAACAGTGTATGCCCGGCTTTATACCTTCAACATTACCGTCAACATTGTTAAAGTCATAAGGAAGTGGCTGTTCCAACTGTTGCATTTCCGAAATCTCCCGAGTGTTGCCCCACTTTACATGAGTGAATAAAGTAAATGCGATTGGTCGATGATCAAGGGGGCGGGATTGTTGTGGTGGAAGGTTCGCAAGCAAGTTTGATTGTGGCCGGTTTTCTCGGAAGCATCTTGCTAACCAGTTAGCAACTTAGTGTTAGTATGTTTCCAATGGGAAATTACTGATAAAGAGTATATTTATATACATGTTTAAGCCAGAATGTTTTGACATTTAAATATGATCACCCTATGACTTTAATGCTTTCATAATTTGGTGACCTTTCTGACTTAGTCAAGTATTTTGCCTTTAGGCTGACAGAAGCAAGTTAGAACACACCCTTATTCCAACAAATAAATTGATTACTAATGGCAGCACAGGGTTAACACCCCCAATGTGCACCTTTTTTGTACTGTGATGCGGTTATGGTCCAAAAGATTCATACTGGAGATATAAAAGCCGCCATCGATGCAGGGTGGGGAAATGACCTTTCTTTATCATGGCAGACCTGTTGTAGTTCTGACGTTCATGCGAATCAGCTGGAATAATAGCAACGACCTTGGCTGAGCAGTAAACTGCTGACAAAGGCAGTAAAAAGCTACCGAGATGACAAGAGCAGAGCTTGTAGGAAAACAATACAGGCTGATAGTTCAAAGAAGAACTTTCAATATCTCCGCTATGAGCCCAGGGCAGCGAGTTTGGCAGTAAGGATTTCTGCAGGATGCAGGTGGAAGAGGCTAAAAGCTTGAAGGGTGTAGAAGCTTTGCTACTTTCTAATCAATATTTGGTTCAACAAAAGGATAATGCACTGCCCTTTATACGTTTATTATATAAACCTCATCAAAGTTCCTACCAATCCCACTCATCCTTAGTCCATCCTAACATGTAGAAATAATGGATTTCATTACTTAAATGTAGTTTCAATATGAGGGTTCAGCTAAATCTTTCAAAGGTTTTTCACCATTTTGAGAATGTATTTTGGTTCCTTGTTGGTGAAGAGATGTGAAATTTGGAGACACATCTCTGCTTCATAGTTTTGATGTGTTTTAAAGTAAAAGTCCTGTCACATTCAGAATTCAAACTTCTGAAAGTACTTTTTTTTTTTCTGAAGTCACGGTGCGGTATCGGCTGTTGATCAAGTCCCAGTGCTGTATCTGGTGTTTGTCACGACGCACTATTATCCAAGTCATCTTGAAAACATTCTTCTTCCAAATGTTGGCTAAATATTACGTGTTTTTTCTCTGGCCAGAAGTTTAATGACAAATCATCCCTCTTCAAGTTGGCAATCCAACAACAAATCTGTTAGTGGACAATCAGGAATCGGAAAGGTGAAATAACCATTTTTTTTCCCCTTTTACTCGATGTATTTCAGCATCTAACTGCCATGAACGTGGGCATTGTCAGTTTAACTATAGCTCTG